ACCAGTTGTGGAACTCTGGAATAGTCTCTATCTGTTCCAGAAAGAAGCTTCCTTGACGATTGGTGAGATATACACTTGTCTGTAAATATAAGGTTACATATTTAGCATGCAATTGGAAATGACATTTGTCTAGGGGTTTGCCACACATAAGGTTTGCTCTAGTTTTTATCACCTATTCAACCAAGTGTATTTGGCTATGTTTATACTACCACATATGAGTTCTTTCCCTTTGAATCGACTTTAAGTACAATTAGATAGCTGTTGGTTACCCCCAAGATAAGTGCCACTAAAGTTTCCAGTACGTCTAGGTTTCAATCATTTTCTTAGGACTGTGATTATTTTGTGCATGCTATACCTCAGTAGCAACCATATTTTAAAAGTCCTGAGAAGATGAGTCCTCCTAAAATATCCAATCACTGTCCCAGAAAGGAAGCATAATTAATATTTTGCTCTTAAAGCAAAGGATGAGGTAAAAATGACATTTCTCATTTTCTCTTTTCACAATTATTTTGAAGGTCATATGCAGGGCATGGAGAAAAACAGAAGTAAAATGTTAGTTGTGGCTATCATGGGGGAAAAGATGATTGTGTGGCTCAAAGAAAATATGGTGTCTTACTTAAAGCCAAAATAACTAGCGCTAAAGTGATGGCTTAGTGATTAAGGCACTTCCTGCTCTTCTAGATGACCTGAATTTGGTTCTCAGCATCCACTTCTCATGACTCACAGCTGTCTATAACACCAGCTCTTGGGTGTCCAATGCCCCCTCTAGTTTCTCTGGCACCTACACAGATATGGCATAGATCCATCAGATACACACACACACACACACACACACACACACGCACACACAGAGCTTAGCAACAAAAACGAGAAAAGAATTAAATGCAAGCCACGGGGGTTAAGAAGCATTCATAATAAAGTTTTTGAATAAAGATATATTTACAGAATTAATAGTTTCAAGAAAATGTGAGCATCAATTAGGCAATTAGATGCAAAAATATTCACATTAGCAACAACAAATTCAACAAGTGAGTTATAATTACATGCAATAAGTCCATTTCATTGCGAATCAGAAAAGTACATTAGAATGGTGAATGAGATAATGTATTTCAAGTTGTAAGGCGCATGGTTCTTATAATATCTTTAATATTTTAGTATAACTATATTTAATATAGTTATACTAAATATAGAATACATAAATATATAAAATATATTTAATATAACTATAATGTGTGATTACACTTTCAATTAAACGCTCTGTAGTTTATTTGAAAATAACATTCTAATTCTTAAATTCATTGAGAAGAAGCAAAAGAAAAAAATTGGTAATAGAACAATGAATGAGACAGTAGGGCAGTGAAAATTTAGGAATTATGAAGATATACAAAGCTATATTAAGAATCAGTCTATGGAAGGACATTGAAACAGTGCCTTTAATCAACAAATTAAGAAAAGGTATAGAAAGATACGCCTTTCTTTTCTTGTCTATCAATACTAATATGTTAGAAAGAAGGTGATAAATGACTAATGCATAGATGATAGTTGATAGATAATACACAGATATGATCTTTAGGTGATAGATATACAGATTTTAGATAAGTAATGGATGAAAGATGATTGATCATTAAATGTTGATAGAGGAATAGATAAAGATGTTACATAATGATGATCATACAGTGATAGATTAGATAGATGATAGATTTATAGATAGTATGTATAAATTGGGGAGAAGTCAATTTAAATATTAAACCATATATTTAGAGAGATATTTACCACATATTACAACAACCTGAAATATATACTGGAGAGGAAGGTCACAAATAGTTTAGACAATTATTATGGACTGTATTTTGCCTCTGAAAAAGCAAAGATTAAAATTTTAGCCTTTGGTGTCTTAAAAGTAACCTCTTTTGGAGATAGAAAGCTTTTCTTCTTAAATTTTTTTAGTTATTTGAGAATATCCTGCAATGTGTTTTGATTATATTCGCACCTGCTACTACAGTCTCACCAGATCGCCACCCTTCCCATCCACCCAACTCTCTGTTCTTTAATTTTAACCCATGTGTACAATTTGTGCTCTCTCCATATACTCTGGTGTGTGGCCATCCTCTGAAGCAAAGTTAAACTGCGAGGGGCCCACCTACCCTCAAAGAAAACTGACTATTCTGTTCCCTGAAGCTTTCCATTGCCAATAGCCTCTGAGCTTGGGTGGAATATTGTGTCCACCTTGCGCCCTGACCCATGCTGTAATTTTGTCTGTCTTGTGGTCACTTAGGTCATATGCATACTGTTAGAATCATTGCAAGTTTATGTGTGAAAATGTCCTGTTGTGTTCAGAGAATACTGGTGCCTTGTAGTCATCCACTGCCTCAGTAGAGATGAAGTTTCCTGGTCACACGTGTTCTATGGATATGTGGTCCTCAGTAATAAGGTCTCACAATCAAGTTCTGGAGGAAACCAAGAGCATTGGTAGTACCCTGTAACATGTGGGGGTCTATGCACTCTTACTGGTCAGCAACTTTGAAAGAGGAAGTAGAATACTTATAGAGGTAATCAAGTTAAAATGTGGTTGTTAGGGTGGGCTCTAAAGTAATAGGACCAGTGTCCTATAAAAAAAAAGGGTTTGAAATCAAAATCACAGAAAAAAGGTAATGTGAGAGAAATCAAGAGAAGAGAGCCACCTGAATTGAGAGACTCCTAAGTTAGATTTCCCTCATAGCTGTATAGAAGCCAGCCTGCACCAACAGGAATTTTGAGTTTTAGACTCCAGAATTGTGAGAAAAGAACATAAAAAATGTCAGAGTCATCCATTCTGTATTACTTTGTTGTGACAATCCCAACAAACTAATGCAACTTCTAATGTTAATTAAATGTGAGTAGTAGATATAAACATGATAAAAAATAAAAGCAATAAATTTATGAAAATTTAGCCACTCCTCATGAAGTAGGTAGAAATTATATTAGGGAGAACTTTGAGTCTCTGAGCAATTAGCCTAGTTTTTAAAGAGTAGGACCACATACTTTCCTTATTGAAGTAGATGGAAGAGTACAAAATGCTGGGTAGCAGAATGATCAACTAAGGGATTGTATAGGACAAAGCATGCCAGCACATATTGAAACCAACTTGATAAGTCTTAGTATAGTATTTTCACTTATGAGACTATCATGTTGCAGAAATATTTAAGGAATTATATATAAGGTCACATATGTGGATATCATTATTTTGTAAGAGAGAGAAAAACTGTGACAGTATAAATGTGCAGTAGTAAGATCTAGGGACACAAAGAATGGTCAATAGCACCTGCCAATGGGAAATATGCTCAAGGAGACATGGCCAGTGGCAGAATGAGGGCAGAGGATGAGGCTTATTATGTTATTACATATCTTAGAAATATTTTCATTGATTCTAGAATTTCATACAATTTTTTTTGGTCTTTTTGAGACAGGGTCTCCCTGTGACCAGGCTGGCCTTGAACTCACAGAGATCCCCCTGCCTCTGCCTCCCAAGTGCTGGGATTAAAGGTGTGCACCACCACGCCGGGCCCCGTACAATATATTTTTATGTTTCTAAAAAAACTTTTACTGGAAGATGAACAGGGCCTTATCATTGTAAATGCTAAAACCTCTTGTGGCCAATTCTGCCCACTTCTGCTGTGTAGTTTCAAGGGTTGGAAGTAGAATTCTGGTCATTAATTAATTAAGATCCCTGCCTGTGTAGCCCAAATTAGTTGTATCCTCTTCATGATTCCCAATGCATTTCCTAAACAATAGAGTGATTTAAATTTACACATGGCATGTATTTTCTCATGAAGATTTAGAGCATGAAATATGATAATGGAATTTATAAAATGGCTGTTAACTATATTAAAAGTTAGAGAAAGAAATACTATTCATAATTTAACAAAAAGCCATAAATGACAAGTAAATTCAGTTCCGAATATTTACACATGTAATGTAGTAGGTGGAAATAACAGACCATTAGTGTTTTGGGAAAGCACAATGTAAGTTGAGCAGTAAGCACATAGCCAGGAGGACCTTTGATTTTGAGTCAGTGCATTTTCAAGGTAGTGGCTGAGACCAGGAGCTCTGGACGTGACTGACAGACCATGTCCATAACAGCAACTTGTCCTTGGATGTGATTTATTACTCTAGTGACTCAGTAATTTCAAATGTAAAATAGGGTTACCAGCAGTGCTTGTTTCTGGAGTTGTTCTGAAGATAAATTGAGGTGATCTATTTAACACCATCTTTCCTCTGGTAGTTTGTCAGTGCATGCTATCTACCAATTTGATTTATCATGTTTGCAAATGATAATTTGGAGATGTATTTATTGTACGAGAGAAATGAATGACATACAAGAACACTGTACACGGGATGAAATGGAGATGAGCCTTATCCTTTATTATTTTATTATTTGACTTTGCGACTGAGACTTCTAAAGCCCTGGGATATCTCAACTCTCTGATAATGACTGATTATGGTTGGACACGGAGCATGCCATAGGAACAACTTCATCTACTGGCTGCTTTTCATAGAGGCTCTCGTTTTCCCAGCACCGTTAATAACGACAATTGTTTCTTGGGCATATCTGAAAGTGGGTCATTTCCCTCAAGTTCTCTTCTCTGTGAACCAAGGCCTAAAAGGAAGACACTTCCTTCTCTTTGGTCTGTCTCTAACTCATTTGTCCCTCAGTATGAGAACCTAAGTAAGACTCTGGGATATTTCTCCTAACTATCTCTCTAGGTTCAAAGGCCTAGAAAAAATATAGTATGCAAAAAATCTATTTGGCCAGCTGTGCCTGATAAACTACATTATGTCTATAGGATTTATACTATTTTGTCTTAGAGGCTCTCTGGAGAACGGGTTTTCTCTCTGATAGTCTTTAAAATAACATTGTAAAATTTCATTCTAGATTTTACTTCAACTCCAAAGCTCACAGAATGCGTGAATTCCGGTGGATGTGAGAGGGACTCTCATTCCGTTCTTTCTGTGTTAGACAGGACTATGAAGAGCTTGAGAAACAGCTGAAGGAGGTCTTTAAGGAGAGAAGCACAGTCCTGCGTCAGCTGACAAAAACATCCAGAGAACTGGACGGGATCAAAGTCAACCTTCAGGTGAGATGAAGCTTAATTTTCTCAGCAGTAAAGCAACAGTGGAGTCCTGCTTGCCTACTGGGTGAATATGCATTTTAGACCATTTTTAGTGCATCTCTGGGCCTGATTACTCAAAGTACAATTATTGTTATTGAGCTTTAAAATGGAATGTCATGTGAAATGCAGTCTAGGGACCTGCAGTTTGTAAAAATCAAAAGTATGGTGCCTAGATGAGAAACAGCTGACCCTCCTAAAACAAAGACTGCTACACAGGCTGACTAGATTCACCAGAAGGGCAAGTAGTGGGGAATGTCTGGGGGTGCCGACACTACAGCAGACAGTAGCAGGGATATCACAGTATAAGGGCTCTAGTGGGGGGAGGGAGGCTATGGGAGGGTGCTACCTGGGAAAAAAAGTAGATGTGAAAAACATTACCATTGAAATCTACCTGATGACTTTATATCCATGTTCAGATGCCAAGGAGCTCAGAAAGTAACTGACTATGACTAGTAATAATCAGATATATAGAGATTAGAAATGCATGTGTAAACATCTTAATGTCAATTGCATTAAAAATGAAGTTTTCTGCGTGACACTCTGTATTTTAATAATGAAATGGAGACCTTTTTTAAAGGCTAAACCTCATTTAATTTTATGTCTTATATGGTTTATACTGAGTATAATATTGTATAACTGTATTAATTCAACTGTAAACCCTAAAATTTACAGCCAGTTTTGAAAGAGAAGCATCTTAGCTCTGGAAATTGTTATTGAATATGTCAATGCTATTGTAATGAAATGCCTTTTCTAATTATATGGTTATTAAATAAATAATTTTTTTAAAAAAGGATGGTGCCATGTGCCTGGCAAAGCCACCAGTTCCTCCTGCTTCCAAGATTAATTTGACCCCTGTGTTCTTCATATCACAAAATGGTGAAATGTAATTAATCTGAGAGTTAAGTGGATATAGGAATGATATTTAGAAGACAATTTTCGATCTCCCCTTGGACAGCAGTGGAGATTCTTCAAGAACCTCATGATAAACAGAGATAAATGTCACAGAAAGGAGAACTTCATACTTAAAGTGAAAACAAACAACAGAACATAAGCAAGATGTTTCAGATGAAAAGCCGTCTGAAACACTTGACAGTACATTAGCATTTGATTTTACAAATTGTATTCACTGAGTAACTGTTCTTTAAGGGAGCAAGTCCAGACAGGCTGACTAGACTCCAGTGGATGAACTTGTACTGAGAGACATCTGGGTACAAAAACTTGACTCAATATGCCTCAACATACATAACAGAATGCATGAAATTCAGTGGGGGTTTATAGGGGAGGGTGGTAGGGAGTGAGTCTAAATATGACTAACGTGTAGTTATGAAATTCACAAAAATTCAATAAAAATGTACATTAAGGAAAAGAGATACAGAAGGTCAGAACTTCTAAAATTAAATGTCCAGATGGAGAGTCTGGTTATTTTTATAACCTTAACACTTGAGTAGAATGAGAAAGCAGGACAGCCAGTGACCATGTCGGCTCATTTGATGACAAATCAACTTTGGTATCTTTAGAAGGTCACAATCATTTTCCAATAATTATATCTGTGTTTCCTGGATATCAATAAAGACAGGATACCTAACTTCTGATTATGTCTTCCTGACATTCATCTGCATGTGTGGGCTTTTCATTCGCTATCGGTTTGACTTTTGTTTCTGTTGTTGACCTCGTGTGTGTGTGTGTGTGTGTGTGTGTGTGTGTGTTACCAGGAACTGATTCCAGATCTTCTTTAATCATGTACTCATGCTAAGTACATATTTATATCCTTAACTCTATTTATCTAGTTGTTATTTATTTGTCCTTTAAATTTTTTTCAATATATATTTTTATTGAATTTTTGTGCATTTAATGAAATACATCTTAATAATATGTAGACCATTCTCCTATCTATACCTCAGTAGCCTCCTACCAGATTTCATGCATTTTGTCATAGATGTTAAAGTCTATCAAGACAATTTATTGGTTCAGTTAATTTCATGATATTTATTTTGAGCATATTCAGACCCCTCCCCCATGTCTACCCCCATCTTACATCTCCCATTCCTGACTTCATGTCTTCTGTTATTATTTCTTTTTAAAAATTTTGAAGTACCACTGAGTCTAATCTGTACTTCCCAAGTGCTCTTGGCTGTGCGTCCAACCCCTGGAGTCTGGCCAATCTATCAAACGGCATAGCTCTCCCTCTCCCAGAGTTTGTCTCTGTTTCCTTCAAAATGTCCAAAATATGGAAGACTATCAATAAACACAGAAGCATATCCTTTGATCTGAGTTAGCTAATAACTGCAGTAGGGTCTGTATCCATTTCATGTATCTTTTTAATAAGGTCAGAGAGCTGATTTTTGACCTGCCCCATCCAGATCTATGAGGCACATTGGTCAGACAAGTCTTCTGACACATGAGCTTTCTCCACTAACTGCTCATTCTGCTCTTTGTTAATTGAAATTTCCCTTCACAAACATGTAGAGCATTGCTTATGGCTGCTTCCTAGAGAGACCTCATGAGTCCTTAACATGGGGAGTTCAGCCTCCAGGTTATTCTGGTAATGCTAACACTGTATTGAAATTCTGTATTGAGTACCATGCTGAAATGCCTTGCAGCCAGCACCATGCTTTACAGGTCCCTGCATAACAGGATCAGTGTATGTTAAATAAATGTCAAGGAACAAAGCATTTGCCGCTCCACTGCTGCTGATTCTCTACATTCATACTTGCTGTGTAGACACTGACTTTCCATTTAAACTTTTAATACCAAGAATGACAGGTAACTCTATTAAACAATTTACTGAGTACAAATAAGAAAGTTATTAGGGAAGGTTTAATGTGACAGATCCTTGTTTAAGAAGAGCTCAGGGAACTTTTCTGTTCTAATTGATGGCCTCTGAATCATGAATTTGCAAGGATATAAGTAATAATTTCTGAAATGGCATACATTATTTTCTTAATATCATAGCTATAATTTTGTATGGCCCTCTGTCTTTGTGCATCCTAACTCATAACATAAATAAAACAAAAATACATGAGCAAGTGAGCTTGTGCCTTTTGACTGCTTTCTACTTCAACTGATTGATTCCCTGAGCTGTGCAGACAAGCTTTCTCTGTGCTTTGCTTTTGTTGAAACAATGCCAGAGCTAATTTAACATGAATATGGAATACAAAGTAAAACTTTACAGGAACCAGAGAATAGATATTTTTATTCATTTATGAAGAGACCAAGGAGCAATCAACATAGCTCAGTGGGTAAAGGTGCTTGCCACATAAGTCTGGTGACCTGATTTCAATCAAGAACCCATGCCAAAGCAAGAGGGAACTGATTCCACAAAGTTGTCCTCTGACCTACACATACATGTGTGTGTGTGCATGCACACACACACACACACAAATAACCAATAATTCAAAGAACAAAAAGAGAGACCAAGTATTTACAGTTTACAGGATATTTCTTTTCCATCTAACATCTGGAAGCCAAGACTCACCTCAGTACTGTTTATGTGGTTTATGTGCCTAAAGCTTGTGTTCTTAGAACCCTGAGCACCATGTGAACCTAGTTTCTACATCTTTGTTCTAGAATCCCAGTACCTGGGTCCTCACCTCACCTCATAATAAACAGTGAAAGTAAAGAGTTACAGTATTTCCCTAATAAGATTTTCCTTCCTTAATTCTCTTTTAGTCTTTGAAAAATGATGAGCAGTCTTCCAAAACAGATGTTCAGAAACTTCTGGAGCTAGGCCAAAAGCAGAGGTAAGACTGGGATTTCCTTTTTGTTTAATTTCACTATTTTTGATAATAGATTTAAGTACAGCCAGAAAATTCACCAATACATATGCATTACAAATGTGTGAGCATATTTATATTTTTGCCAACATCTGAATGTACATGAAATTTAAGACAAAACTCCATTTAAATGTCACAGAGACTAGAGGAATGGCATGTGAGTACCTATAAGTCCCCATCATCAGCCTGTGTCTCTTCTCCTGACCTTACAGGTTGACCCAGAAACCTGTGACTGACACTGATGCATTCCTGGGATGGGTCAATGATGCAGTTAAAATACCCGGGACAGGATGGACTATTTCAGTATTTATAATGTTGCTTTTGTTATGTGTTGAGCATGAAATTCTCATCATTGTCTAATATGAAAGAGTTTGATGACGTCTCTGTTTTGCTATCTATTTCAAGATTTGTTTTAGCGACAGCAGAGGACTACATACTTATGGACATACCACCTCGGCTAGCTAGGTGATATTTGGGTTACATCTTATTTTGCTTTCCTGGTCTATACGATATAGTTAATTATTTTATTTTATTTTGTAATTTTTTAATTGAATTTAAAATTTTAATTTAAAATACATAATATCTTGGTCATTTTTTTACCCTCTTCTCCACTGGTGCCCTCCCCTAGGCCCCCTCCATACCACACACACTAGAATGCATGCATTCTTTCCTTTGTATTAAAGCCTATCGAGTCAAGATAGCATCTCCTGATGTCCTTCAGTGCAAGTTTATCCAATGAAATCTAGTCAGCCTATCCAGAGTTCCTCCTGTTAAGAACATCAGTTCTTTCTCACCTAGCAGTAAACAGCTGCCAGTAGTTCTTTAAGACTGGAGCCTGCTGTGCATTTCCACAGGTCTGTGCTAGACTTTTGTCTGCTTGAATTTGCATAGGTCTTGTAATGCTGACACCATTGCTGTAGGTTCATGTGAGAAAGGTCCCAGGAGCCTGGAGGACTCTATTTCCATGTGGTCACGTACCCCCTCCCTACCACAATTGTCCCTGAGTTCTGGGTGGGTAGAGTCTAATATAGGAGTCCCATCCAGTGACCCACACTCTGCAGACTCCTATTCTCTGTGCTTCGGTCATTTGTGTTCATAACCCTCTGCTGCATGAGGGAACTTCATGGATGTGAGTTGAGAGCTGTTAGTAGTCTCTCTGCCCCTTGTTACAGTATGTTTCTGCGAAACTCAGCTGTAAAGGTTGCATTGTAGATATGTCACTTAGGCTTAGGAAATTGACTTGCAATCTTCTATATGAAGAGTTGTGTAACTTTGTAATAATTTCTGTCTGTTGCAAAAGAAGTTTCTTTGATGAGTAGTGACTGGGATACTTGTCTGTTAGTATAAGGATCCATATTTTGCAATAGTAAGAAATTACATTTGTCTAGGATGTGACAGCCTTAGGGTTTCCCTGAGGTCTATGACCTCTCCAGCCATGTGTATTTGAGGATGTTTACAGTACCACACATGAGTTTTCTCCTACTGAGTGGCCTTTAAGTCCAATTAGGTAGCTGCTGATTACCCCCAAGAGAAAAGTGCCACTGTTGTTTGCTGTGCCGCTCATTGATGTGGTTATTAGGCCTTAAAGCTGGGGTTGGACCATCGATTGGTGTTCTACCTTAGAAGCTTGTGTAGTGGTCTCTGGAGCTGTGAAACCTAGCCTTCAGGGAGGTGGCCTCTAGGTCAGTTCCAGCTTCATTTCTCCAAATCCTGTGACCAAATGTATGTCCTGTCTTCAGCAATATGATCTTACCTTCATGTCTGAGAGGCAATCAAGGGCTGTGGAAATAGCCTGTGTAATTTTGGGAATCTCGTGGGCAACCCTGGCCAACAACTCAAAGGGAGGTTTCTCCTGTTTTGTATTATTTCTTGTTATGTAGCCTTTAGTTATACACACGGATACATAAAGAGATATTGTATGTGCAGTTCTTCAATTGTTTTTTAGACTAATCCAAACTCTCCACAACTATAGTCTCTACTTCTAAGAGGTCAGTAGTAAATAATAATTTTGAAAGGAAACAAGTTTGGGGCTAGAGAGGTAGCAGTTAAGCACACCGGCTGTTCTTGCAGAAGACCCAGATTTGAATCCATTCACCCACATAGTGCCTACAAAACATCTGTAACCTCCAGAGGATCCAATGACCTCTTCTGACCTCCATGGGCATTACACAACATAGCCACACTTACACACATGCAGGAATAATACTCATACACATAAGATAAAAATAAATAAATAAAAAGAATAAAAAAGACTATGAGTTGGAATGAATCTAAAATATTGACCTCTTAGTAGTGAAGAATGTAGTTGGGTGCAGTTGAGAGATATTCATCCAAGAATACAAGGTTTCTTTGAGACAAGAGGAAATGTTTGGGATGTGTGTAATGGAAATTGAACATCATCTTGTTTCTAAAAATAAAAGGAACAAAAGAAGTCATTGGCTAAAATAAGCCAACAATTATAAGAATTATTACCTTTACAAATAGTTTCACACCAGACAAAGCAACTGAAAACTACAAATAGAAGAAATATCCTAAATAACTCTACGTAATACAAGTCCAGCACCAACTGTCAGTGACTGAAGAAGCTGGAGAGAACTGGGGAAATTTTAAATAAATCTGTATGCAGAGATCTTGGGACAAAAACTCCTAAGAGGCAGCCTAGAATGGACTTCAGGGACAAGTGATGGAGAACTCAGTGCATGGAGCTCTGCAGAAAGACTAGTCAATTTCAGGAGGACTGTTCTGCCAACTATTTAGTATGAAAAGGAGCTATAGACAGCTAGGAACACATGAAGAAGAGAGAATGAGGAATCTCAACGTGGAAGAATATGGAATGAAGGCATTACATATTTTAGTTAGGACTATATTATTTCAGTAATCTCAGTCTTCCTACATCATAGGAGGCACAGCGGACATGATCTGCTGTTGGGCAGTGCAAGTGAGGAAAACCGTGTTCCTTGGTGTGATTGCATTATCTTAGGTACATCTACCTGCTTTTAATAACATGAAAAATACAAGACCAACCAGGAGCATGAAGTTGTTCATACAACACACTAGGGCCATCATCCACACCTTCAGAATCACATACAAGTACCTAGGTGACTGACATGTCTTGTAACAATAGGTTATAGGCACTGAAATTTTACATTTTTATCAAAATTTTAAAAAGTTGTTGAAATTAATACCTCACTTTGTGTATTCAGTTAAAATCAGAATAAATATCTTAATAAATTCCAATGGCGAGAAAGCTCTTCAAAGGAAATGAAGTGTGAATTTACTTCATGAGATCTACTTAAAAAGGAAATTATAAAGATCATGGCTATATAACTTTGAAGGAGAATATTTTATTTCCATATTTAGACTTGTAAGTATATTGTAAAATTTTATAGAGATGGAATTTTTCCAAAGTTTATCTTTCTTTTCTTGACATTAAAATTATATTAATTTGTAATTTTAGAAGTTCTACCTAAGCTTGATTGACTGAAAAGTATCATTACTTTTAAATTTATTCGTTGAGAATTTCAAATGCCTTTATCCAATGTTGGAACTATATTTAAGGAAACACAGAGAGAGAGAGAGAGAGAGAGAGAGAGAGAGAGAGAGAGAGA